AAGACAATTTTTTTTAAACAGCCGAGCCATACCTTAAGATATTGTATATCTCAGCTACTCAAGAAGCAAAAGGAAAAACTTGTATTCTTTTTGTCCTCCTTGGAGCCAGCATGTATGTATGTGTGTGTGTGTGTGTGTGTGTATATATATATATATATATATATATATATATATATGAATAGCAGTCAGGGTCTCATGCATGCTAGGCAAGCACTTACCACTGAGCTATAGCCCTACCCCTAAGCTGGCCTTTTAAATCTCTGTGAGGACCTTCTTGTGAGATTCTGGTTCTGGGTGTTAGTAACAGGATGGTTACATTTGCATTGTCTTTTCTACAGTCCTTTTCAAAGAAAACAGGACTGTTATTTTGTAAACCACAAATAAGCTTTCACTGTCTACCAATTTTATTTTATTAGTGATGAATGAAAGAGGCAAGGAAATAGTCCACTATATTCTGAGTTGGTTTAGTGTAAGGTACTACTTTTGGGATTCAAAGAAGTATGAATCTATGGGCTTTAGTACTCACAAGGGGATTGACATCCCACTCAAATGCAGGAGGCAATGAACTTGTAGATAGAAAAGCAATGCCCTCCAGAAAACAGGTTCTGAGCAGGAGCGCATATGCATATTTACTGAGTTCCAGCTGAGCTCCAGCAGTGACTCAGGATGAGCTATTTACTGCCCTTGCCAAGAGAGTTCTGTCATCACTGTGACCAAGGTGAACAGAAGCGGACAGAGCCTTCTATGCACTTGAGAAGTAATCCTCTGGCCTTTGAAAAAAAGTTGTATAATTATGAATTTTTTTCAACACATGGCTAGAAGAAAATAAATGGCTTTTTTCCCTTATTTACTCTAAAAACTAGTTTAAGAAGTGAGGATACTATGATATCAACTAAGAGGTGCTGGGAAAGGAAAATGGGATGGCATTTCCTAGTGTAGTCCACTAATTTTCAGATTAGGAACATGCTAAACTGGCTAACTCTACAACCACAACATACTTTATAATATACAGTGCAACTAGAGACTGACCGGTGTAGCTGAGCTTAGAATCAAAGTATACAACTGCATATGGTGAGTCTTAAAAGTATGTTTTAAAACAGATTTAATCAAAGCATACAGTACAAATACTTCTATAACAGCCACATCACAACCACCAATAAAGAGTTGTTTGCTTCTAATCTGTCTGCCATATGCTAATATTTGTAAAAAGCTATTAAATGACTTGAATGAAAAGAAAAGACATTTTCTTTCGGTGGACTCAGCTAAAAGCCATGGATGCCTTTGAGCAGTTGGTAAAAATCATGCCAATCTGCCAGGCTGTTGCTTGCTTCTAAATATAAGCATCATGGCTCTATGAGAGATTTTCTAAGGATCCCAACCTAGGATTTCAATTCTCAAACACATATAAAGTCACTCTGGTTTCCTCCCAATGTATGCACCTTTTAGCAGGCCCAAGACAATGGAAACAAACAATAGGATACCAAGAACTCAGGAACAGTGGTAGAAGATTCTTCTAGAGAATGTGAGGTTGAAGGATTCATAGCTGCAGCTCTGCACCCTGGAAAGAACAAGGCCAGAGCCAAGTGCTGCAGACTTGGTGGTGGTGCAGGCCTGGAGTGGTTTAGGGTAGGGTTTCTCAACCTCAGCACTAGTGATGTTTGGGGCTTGATCAGTTTCGGATTGGGAGGCTGTTCTATGCGTTGCACAATGTTTAGCAGCACCCCTGGTGCCTACCTACTAGATACCCCTAGTGGCAATCAAGTGTCTAAAGACACTGCCAGATGTGCTCTGGAGGGCAAAACTGCCCCTGAGGGGAAGTGCCTGCTACAGAGACAGCTCACTTGAGCCCCCTGGCGTGGAGTACTCCCTTCTGGTCTTGGGCTCTGGAGAGAAGCTAAGCTTTAGTCAAGATAACAAGGCTCAGTTAAAGTTCACTTAGACCTTTAGAGAAGAAAAAGGATTTGGAGAAGCAAGAGTAGAAAAACTGACAAGCTGAGCTGCTTATTTCAAAGGGAGATTCACAACACTTTCATAAAACAAAGCAATTTACAAGTGTTCATTTAACCTTTATATCTTTTTAGGAGGTTGGGGCAGATAATAGAACATGGATGTCATAAATTCCTCTTACTAGAGAAAATGCAATTGTTGTGACTTTAGGTCAAGTCTTTCCTACCATGCACAGATGGCAGTCTTTGTGAGATCAATAACTCTTCATCAACCCAGAGAGGAAAGAAACAGTTCAAAGTTAAGAGAGGGTCCAGTAGAGCAGAGAGAAAATTTCACACCCCATCCCCTAAGAGCAGGAATAGAACAACATGCTAGAAATGAGGATTGTAGGTTTACTTACAGCTTACTGAAGATCAATGAAAAGTCAGAAGGGACAAAAGCTAAGAGGATAAAAGAGCTACCTCAAAAACACTAGTTGAAAACATTGTAGCTGTTTTCTGGCTCAAATCTGGGAATGTACGGAAAAGTATGTATTGACTCTTCATCAGTTAGGTTTAGTTTGTTCTAGGTAGAAGGCAATTTTTCTAGCCCTTCTTTGAAGAACTGTCATGAATATAAATGTTCTGCAAACATCTGAGATCCCAGTGTTAGCAAGAATGACAACATGGGAAACCAGCCTCCAGGTGACAACAAGCCTCAAATGCCACAGTATGGCAATGGGACCGTGCAGTTTCTAAGCACATAGCACAGTGAGAAGTCTTTCCAGAGGAAAAGAAGTAGTTTCTGGTTTGCAAGGGGGTTAACAAGGTACAGATTTAGTATGAAAAAGAACAGTTAATATACACCTTTTAGAGTCACTATATCCAGGCAAAAAGCTGCTGAGGGTCTACCTCACTTGTATAATCAAGCAGCTGCCTAGGAAAAGCCAGATTCAAGAGCTACCCAAATGGTACTGAACTGGTAAAAGAAGAGATAGAAAAAGAACTCGAGAGCATGCAAAACTAGTGATTTGAATCAAATTGTTTCAATGATAGTACCCAGTTGAGTTTCATCTTAGTGCCTATTATACTTATTAAAATTAAATAAAAAGCACCTTAAAATGACCTCTATATATAATCAATACACATTATAGTATTTATATAAAAATGCAATATGCACACAATTTAAGCTTCAAAGAATCTAAGACATTTTTTCTTTATAGTCTTCATAATCATCAGAGCTAAGATTCTCAAAATCTTGGGGGAGGGTTAAGGGTAACTCAGCATTTTTCAATGAGAGCTGACTTGATTTAGGGGCTGACCCTCTCAGATTTCTGGACCAAGTAATAAATATTGAGAAGTTAACTCTTTGAGGGATGGGAGGAACTGCTAAAAGTCTTATTGCTAAGAGACTACTTCCATATATCTAATACTACTGATACATGACGGTACTGAGGTGGATTCCATGAAGACGGCCCAGAGACACAGAGGTATGTGACACTTGCTGGCCAGAGACCTTGATAATACTTGGAGTAACTCAGGAGTTACTTAGGATTTGAAAGTGATCAGACGAGGGGAAAAAATAGGTCCTGTTCTGATGGAGTATGATATATATA